CCCCAAAACCCCAAAACCCCAAAACCCCAAAACCCCAAAACCCCAGAAAAATCAGCCTAGTTGAAATTAACTTATATTTAGAGGCTATTTCTTGAAATTTGGAGTATCCTCCAAGGACATCTCAACTTGAGGTGTCTGTTGATGCTCTGAGCTGGGTTCATCTTCAAAGGAATTCTCAATCGTGTAGAACAATCTTGTTACCTTCCCAGTTCTCTTAGGACCTCCAGAAGTTGACTTTGGCGTAATTGTGTTGAAACTTTATAAGAAGTTAGACAAAGATAGGGGGTATAACTTACTTTGAATAATCCTGCTTTATCTTGATAGGTTTTGGCTTACTAGAAGGAAAGTTCATATTCCCTAGTGTAAACTCAGGTATTTTCCTATTACTTAGGTTCTTCCTTCAAATATTAGGAGGGGGTTGGATTCCACTTTGGTTATTTTTGTCAATAGGACATTCTATCTTAGGCGGGCCATTGAGACTAGATCGCCCATTCCCTACAAAGGAGTTTCGTACCCCTCCTTGGTCTTTACAAAGGCTCATGATTTGTAAAGATTTGCCAATGTCTTCATTCGAGCTTCTTATCTTGAACTTTTGTTGAAAGAACTCATTTTTGACCTATGATTAAATTCAAAGCATACATTGTTAGGGTTAATATTTTCGATATCAAAAGGCTTATTCATTTTACAAAAGTCAGATTTGTTCTCCTTCATCCCGCGTGACTGCTTCATTGTTTGGATTCTCTGGTTCAGCCTTCCACATCGTGAACTAGAAGAAATTAGAAGATGAATACACTGGTTGCTGTCCTTTAGAACTCTTTCGTCGGTTTTTGAATGGACCGAAACTCGTAAGTTTTGCAACCTTCTGGCGATGCTTCAGTTTCAACTTTATCCTTGATGTTGTCTTAATATAATGATGAAACAGTTAAAATAAGCTCATAAAAGTGTATTTAAAGCATCCTTAAGCAATAAAATTGAACCAAAATATGAAAATTTAAGAAAATCATGGCTTAAGGGAATAAAAACTCGGGTTTCATCCTTAATTCCAACTATCAGCTAAGAATATTATTCAAGAAATTCTTCATTACTCTCTTAGTCTTTCATCAGACCTTAGAATGGGCTTTCCTTACTTTCTTAGCATAAAGCCCGATTGGCTTTAAAGAAGGGATCTTCTTTGATATAAACGTATCATTTACTTCACAAGGATTGATCGCTGAAATGTTACTGATAAAACTGGAGTCAAGGCCATCATTATTATTCAGATTAGTCCTCTTCATCTTATAAGACTGAGGCCTCACCTTGTTTTTAGAGAGACTTCTTCACCTGATTCCACTTTCAGGAATGGATCTCTTAAATGGGTGATCTCTTTGTTCCAGATTCTTGTAGAAATCAATATCCTGGTTACTCTTGTTAAGATACTGATAGTTCTTCCTAACTTCGCTCCGAGTCACAGCACTATTTCCTCTGGAAGATTTCTTAGGCGAGGCTTGGAAGAAGTCGCTTGGGAAAAATTTCTTACTCTGGCGCACATTAGGTCACTTCTTAGGCTTATTTTTAGACCCAGCCCGGACAGCGCTCCCACCTCTAGGAGTATGGCTATAAAACTGGTAGTCAGCAATATCTCTTCTCTTGATATCACTGGTCTCATTGGTGATTAATTGGCTGAAATCCTTAATAGATTCTAAACTTTCTGTAACACAAGCGTACCATTCTGAAGCCCGGCTAGTCTTTCCTTCTTAAAATTTCTTCTGTCGTTCATAGCTAAAAGAACAAAAACTGATTGTTTTCTAAGACCTCGTAAGGCTTCCTCGAGGCTGACTTCCTTAAGAAGGGATTTTTGGCCTTCTCTCTGTTAAGGTCATTCTTTTGGCTGTCTATATTTTGAAATTAGGCTAATTTCTTGTAGAATTTTATAATTTCTACTTTGAAACTTGGGCATTTCAAAAAATCTGATTATCCAATTGCAAAATTTCTTGACAAATTTCTTTGAAATGAAGAATTAAGGCAAGGATTTATGGGTCAGAGCCCATAAATCAGTCCTCACTTGTTCTGGTCAAGAGACTTACTATCAACATCAATCATTTTCGAGGGGAATTATAAATTTAAATTATTCAAACCTTGCAGTTATTTTTGGGGTTTTGGGGTTTTGGGGTTTTGGGGTTTTGGGGTTTTGGGGTTTTGGGG